CGTGTCATTGATATCAGTGACACTTTCTCACTGTATTGCGCATTACAGTCACTAGGGGGCGATTCGTATCACAGTGACAGCAGTGACATGGTGAGGTGTGTCATACAGATGACCCACGCTGAACTGTCCCACCAAACTCAATGACAGGGCGGCGCTACCATCTGTTNATGAATAGACCATTGACCCGTTTTTTTTTATTATTTCATAAAATCCGTCTTCAGGTCGCCACAGAACAAGGCCTCGCGAAATCTGTCTTGCCCACATCAAATTTAGGTCTTGCCCCGCCACTGGGGACCACTTATTTTTTTTTTTTTCAAAATCCTATGAAAGGGGAGGTCGATTTGTCGCCCACTGTGCGCCGTTTGCATTGTGTTGACTCGACTCATCACATCACGTCACTTGTTTATTACGATGTCTTCGTGGACCACTTGGAATGCCTCCAGGGACCACCAGTGGTCCGCGGACCACCGGTTAAGAACCACTGGTCTAATTCAATCTTTCTACAAAGATCGCCACTATGATCATCAAGGTCCCTGTTTGCTTATTGCTTTTATGTGTCTCTATCTCTAGGGCTACTGGCCTAAAGTCCTATATTATAATAAACCTACTTTTCTTTAAGTGGGCATAAGTTATTAAGTAAATATAATAATATTGTGATGAGGCTTCCGGCGACTGGGACCGCAATTAACTAGGACCGCGGTCCCAGTCGCCGGATCCGTAAAAATTAAATAATTTTCTTCCGCCGCGGCGACTGGGACCACTCATAAATGTTAATTGAATCTGAAATAAAAAAAAGTAGGGGAGTTAAACGTTTATTTATTAAAAACTAGCTGACCCGGCGAACTTTGTTCCGCCTTAATGGCAATAAATAAGCAGACTTTTTTTTTTATTTCGAACGGGATAAAAAGTATCCTATGTCCTTCTCCTGGCTCTAAACTACCTCCCTGACAATTTTCAGCTAAATCGGTTCAGCCGTTCTTGAGTTATAAGTGGAGTAACTAACACGACTTTCTTTTATATATATAGATAGATGCACAATGATGACTTATGCGTAGGTTGTGTGTCACTTTTTGTTTTAATTATTGCGCAAATTATTGAAACATTATTTCCTATATTATAAACTCTGTAGGTGGCAGCACTTTGGTGCTAAAAGATAAGGCGCGCTTCTTGGCCTCACACAGATTCTTTTGCACTTACTCAACTACTTACAATAGCAATAGGCAAGTAGGTACGTACTTTATCAGATCAAGTAAGTCTCAATCAAATCAGGCAATAATTAATATAACAATAGAGATAACTTATCGTTGTACGTCAAAGATTTAGGTAAGTAATAAGTGATAAATCCAATGAAAATATCATTTGCAGTCATTTCATTGTTCAATACTGATCGTAATTAACATCTGCAAAGTTCTTTAAATTTAAATCGCTAGAATGTTGTGGGTCTTTACTGTGTTTGGGCTGATTGCCGTGTCGGCGGCTAGACCGAGTGAGGCCGATACGCTGAACGTGGTTGTAGTCCCCCCTAATTGCCCCGCGGGCCAGGAGTGGGTGAATGGCCAATGTCGCGACGTGTGGAGACTCGCCCCAGCACCAGTGGTCCTTCCTGCCATCCCGATCCCAGCACAATACGCTGAAAACGCTGCTCCGAACTTCGTGTAAGTTTATCTTTTCATCACACATTCATAAATAGATAATTGAAGTGGACATTCGAAGTTACGAATGAACGACATAAGAATATTTTTTTACAAGATCGTCTCCGAATTTTTACATGCGTAGGATTAAATTAATTAAAAATGGTTTACTCTTTCCTAAAGGGACTCTTGCCACGGACAATCGCAGATAAAGATAAACAAAGAACGATTGATAAAATGATGAGATAATGACTGATATCATAGCAAAACATCAAAAACAACAACAACTAAGTATATTATAAAACGAAATATCGTTCGTTATGAAGATATTAACTTGCCTTGCCTTGCTTGGAAATTATAATAATACTACCTACCTACTACCTCAGTTAAAAATAGATTAGCTTTATTAGCTTTTATGTGACATACCTACCTGTAGGTAGTACCTACTACCTAATCAACAATATAACTCAATATTCTCACCCTGATCGCCTCTTAATTCAAGTCAACGGTTAAGTAAGTATGCTTAGATTAATAAAGCCGGATATGTAAATCGCCAATTTAAAATTTTCTAAATAATGCATCCGAGCGTCGCTGGCACTGGGACACGCACATAATTTTTCCATTTTGATTCAGTCGATTGAATTTTTTTCTGTTGTAACTAAAGAAATATTTTTGTTTTAGTGACTCCGAGGCGCAACCGGCCGATGAATATGCACAACCCACGAACGCAGTGATCGTCCCACCAAACTGTCGACCCAATCAAGTTTATGTCAACAACCAGTGTCGCGATATATTCGTAGCGATTCTGCCGTAAGTCTAACAAATTATTCCAAATTGGATTTCAGCTAATACATAATTTTATACCTTAAATAAGTAGTGTACTAGTACTTATTTGTCACGAAACAAAAGATACTGATACCTACTTAACTACCATAGCTGGGCACCGTTAATCAAATAGTTAACTTCGTTAATCGTTAAACCGTTAATAAAAAAAATAACTTCGTTAAACGTTAAAACGTTACATTTAGCAAGATTTAACGCAAGTTAACGTTAATCGTTAATCCGTTAACCCATTATAATAAAACGAAAAAAATAATTGTATGCAAGGTTCAAATAATTTCGAAAGCTTGTATCGCGCATGGAATTTATTCTTCTTTTTAGCCAGACAGTTTTGACAGTTCCAACTCCTTGCCAGACAGTTTTTTTAGGATAGCTGCCAAAGCCACGATGACCCAAACTTCATAATCCACCAACATTCTAACCTATATTGGAAGCATACGCTGACAAACTTTCAGCTTTTATAAAATGACGTTGGTCTGGCGTTCACCAGCTCTTAGTCTATAGTATTTCAATCTCAGAGCCTTGGTTCAATTACAATACAATTTAGCACCAATGTGCTCGAAAAGACAAATCCAACTAACCCAAATTCGATGCGATTCCGGCGTTTCATTTAGGAGTTCCTATGGCCGCCTCCTGACTCCATCATTAGACCAGCTTAATGGTACCACAACATTGCATTTTCATCGTACTTACATAACTATACTAAATTGCAGCTCAATCGGTTGAGGAGAACTGGTCTTAAATTCAGTTGCAAGATTTGTCCCACACATACTAACAAGTGAAGTCAATATAAGCAGGCCTGTTTATCTCCGCGAGTTTACTTCGAAAACAAAAAAGCACGATGGCACCCTATTGGAGTACTATTCGACAAGGCCTCACATACGAGCAAGCATTGACTCACGCACGCGTATTCTTGTATATGATGGAAAAAAATAAAGAAAATGGTGTACTAAATACTAAATAATAATAAAAACACAAATTGTACTTTTTTAAGTTGCCTGAAGACACTGAGAGGTAAATAAGTGGTTAATATTATTCATGATAACTCATGCTTAATCATATATTTCCTCCGCCATTTTCTGCAGTTTGGCACCTCACGTCACACATTATTTTACCGAAGTCAGCCTGTGTGTGTGCTTGACTCTTGAAGTCTTGAGACAAGCTAAATTACACCATATAGTTAACGACATTGAGCATACAGCTCAACGCAACGCGTTTTTCTAGTGTTTTTCAACGTGCATGCTGTATCTTTTTGGTAAATAGTAGGTACTGGATTAACGATTAACGGACTTAGGATAATTTAACGGAAGTTAACGAGTCCGTTAACATTTTTTAAAGTTAACTTAAAAGTTAATCCGTTAATAGAAATGTTAACTTCGTTAATTAACGGATTAACGAGTTAATGCCCAGCTATGTTAACTACATAGATAGGACTAAGTAGGTACCTACTTAAATGTAATGTAATTTACTCAGTAAAAGTTTAAGATCTACGTCATATTTACGTTTTATTTGTATAGAGAACAATAGTGTCTAGACAAACCTAAAGAGGATTTAGGACGCTATTTGGATCAAATATGTAATTGCTCAATAATGAATAATAAATAAATAAATAAATATAAATAATAATTATACCTTTTTAAATATTTAAACTTGTTTCATTTATAATAATTCGCTGTAGGCATAGAATTAAATCTAAGGTAAAAAAGTACTATAACTAAAAATCGATTTATCCTATTCCACCCCCTTTAATATAGATGAAGTCTCACACAGTCATCATGAGCAGTTAAAGCAGTTTTTAAACGTTCTAAGTACCTACCTACCTATAAACTCAACTGTGACAGTTACCTAAGTAGGTACTTACTTATATTAGCTCGCCTTTTTGTACGGAACATTGTTGTGTGTGCAATAAAGTCTTTAAATAAAAAAAAATAAATTAGTTCTCAGATTTTTTGTGATCTCGATCCGGTGGTCTTGTTGACCACAAGCCACGTTTTATTAATCTAAGCTCATACTCATCTAAAAAGCCTAAAGTAAACCAAAGAAGACCACTATTATTGATCTTAACTGGTTTACAATAATTAAAATCTCTTTTACAGGCAAGCAGAACTGAGATCGCAAGAATTGCTTAATGAAGTTGAACATAAAAACATCGTTACCGTACCCAATCAATGTCCTATCGGATACAAGCCTGATGCTCTCGGTGTCTGTCGCGAGATCTTTAATTTGATTGTGTACTCTTGAAATGTATTGAAATCTAACTTATAAACAATAAAAGATATTATTAATGAATGATTTTGTAATTACTTATTGCCATTAATAAGTCCATCTTTTAACGCAGTGTTTTTCAACCTTTTTCATGACGCGACCCCGACCGTTCGGTTTATTTTCATGCCTTTTACGAAGATGTTCTAGGGACCGAATTCTTCAATCTATACAACATTTTATGCATTTGCATAATTAGATTTCGGATAAATCTAGCTTTAAAACTTTACTGATTTTTTTACTGAGGTAGTTTTTACGACCTCTCGCGACCCCCCTATAGAGGCTTCGCGACCCCCCAGGGGGTAGCGACCCACAGGTTGAAAAACACTGTTTTAACGCATCATCATGCCTACCCTTTACATTTGCTATAAATCTGTTTAAATAATTATTACTACATAATTCTAAAGTTTAAGGCTCAGTCTGCAGAAGTGCGTCAGTGCATGCGAATAGAATCGCTAAATTAACTTGTTTGATCACTCACTATCAGAATGGAGCCACTCACTTATGGTCATGGCCATAAAGATACACAAAAATAAAGCCGTCTCCATAATTATAACGTTATTAGCTATGTGCGCCGAGCAAAATAATTTTGCTTTATCACGAACTATGTATAGAGTGTGATTTCTTTGCCTACTGATAAAAAGAAAGTGGATGATATGTCAATTTTTTTGACAAATTACCAAATGCCAACCACAGATGAGAGAGAGTAATGCCAACTAACCACAAAGTTTTACTCAACAATTCTAATTTTGCACAAAAACTTTGCATTTGTACAGTTTTGTTTATTTAACATAATAGTTAATAGTGCAAGTTTCGCACAAAACAAACTATGACATATTCTCGGTGAAAAAGCATTTTATGAGTCACCTAACGCAGTTAAATGATGACCGATTATTATTCTACTCAATCGTATTTTTAATCTAAAAAAACTAATAAAATGTCTGAAAGAAAAGGAACTAAAGCTTTAGAACTGTGGTGTAAGCGTCTAGTGCGGGATTGTCCAAATGTTCAAATAGATAATATGACCACATCGTGGAGGAATGGCATTGCATTTTGTGCATTAGTCCACCACTTTCGTCCTGACCTAATGTAAGTATAATAATGCATAACACCCAAGTTCAACCTAATTTCTTTATTAATTTTAATAATAATAAGATTTTAATTTTTTGTTCAACACTCCACTGAATAAAGTTTGTGACAGAGTTAATTTTAGTCCTATTGATGTAAATTAGTTTAAGTTAACATTTTCGTAACCAACTAAGTAATATAAAATATTTTGGCCATTTCATTACTTAATTGCATTGCAGACATGTGTAACTAATGCTATATTGACACAAATGGATTATATTTCAGTGATATGTCATCATTAAAACCAGAAAATATCTATGAAAATAATCAGTTGGCATTTAATGTGGCTGAGAAACATTTGGGTATCCCTGCTTTGCTTGATCCCGAAGATATGGTTGAGAATGATGTCCCAGACAGGTTATCAATACTGACTTATTTGTCTCAATTTTATCAGAGATTAGGCCACACAGGTATGTTTTGAAATTACAATGATATATAATATGTCATAAATTCTCATCAATCAAATCTCTCATCTCTTTTTTATTTTTATTAAAATACATACTATTTCACAGTAAATACAAAGGCATCATCTGAAGTTGAACCTAAATCATCTTCAGCTTCAAACTCAGTAAGTAAAAATGTGATAAACAACTTCTTTAAATTCTTATTTCATACTCACTGTTTGTTTGCAATACTTTATTCTAGTTTGTTTCTTTCTTGAATTCTCTCAACTTTTCTGTTTCACTTTTATAGACTCCACTCAAATTTGGCAAATCTGGACTTGACAAATGTGCTGCATGCGGCCTGCCTGTCTATCTGGCACAACGCCTTATAGTATCACACAAACTCTACCATAGAAGATGTTTTCGATGTTCCAAATGCTCTGGGCACCTCAACCCAAAGAACTTTGAGATCACTGATGGATCTGAATTTACTTGTGATAGCTGTAAAAATGAAAAGACATTGTCTAAATTCTTCAATAATAATGACCACGATCAAATGGGAATGCTTGCATTTAGTGATGACTTAAGGAAAACCCCGGAGGTTCCTAAAGAGGAGTCAATTAATGTTAAAATTAAGACAAGACCTTTGTCAATTTTAGGTAAGTATTTACTTTCTCACCTTTACCTTGGCTCTGCTTGTGTTTGTGACAATTTAGAATAATTTTAATATGGTAAGTAAGGAATTCGAATTCAAGTTCATAATAAATATAAAAATAATGCAAATAATACAATAATAACATAAGGTAATATTACAGTACATACCTACTAGAATACTCATTTACTGGTTTTAAAGGAGCAAAATTAGTCACATACTACATTCCAGTGATATGATGCACGTTATCACTTTGAATTTGTATTACGATGTCACTATTTCCTTAAAACAATAAAAGCAAAGTCATATGTCATGTTTGTTTGTTTAACATCAACGTGCGTGCATGTTGATGCTTTATTTTTAGATAAATTTTATTTGCACAAAACAACACTTCTGCAACATATTTTATGTAATATAAATGCATATTTTAGTTTGAAAAACTTGTTTTTGTGTTTCAGAAAAAATAAACATGTTCGAGAAAAACTCAGAAAAAGATGTAGTTACAGATAAAATAGCAAATATTTCTTTAAAAGATAACACAATTAGTAAACCTAGAGAATTAAGTGCACCAACTATAGTTAGTCTTGCTAAAGAGTCAAGTGGTGAAGGGCACTCTCAAACAGAAGCTGATTCAAAACAAACTCAAGAAAACATAGCTATTGTCGAACACCGGCATTCATTACCAGACTTGCCAACTAAAGTGTACAAAAGTAACGTCAACAAATTTAACTTCTTACAAACACAATTGGCAGATGATAAACTAGATGACAAAACCACCCCAGAAAACTTAGACACACCTAAACAAGATCAAAATATTGAAAGTATTAGTAGTAACATAGTTAAAAATGAAATCTCTGAAAAAGAAACAAACAGTAATTTGAGTATAAATAAAGAAGAGAGTAACATAACTGATGACATCAGATTAGGTATAGGACACAACTCATCAAATCCAGACAATACTCGATTAGAAAATAATGAAGTAGTTAAAAATGAACTAGAACAGGAAGTAAGTATAAGTGTGCCTCCAAGACGGAAGAAGCAATTGTCATCTCCTGATAGGGTCGTTCCGAAAATAGTTGAAAAAGAAGATAAGAAACCTGATGTAAAGATGTATCCTGATCACTTAAATCCATTTTCAGATGATGAAGAAGATGAGGTAATTTGTTATGTACACTATGAAGCGTCGTTCTAATTTCCAAACAATCATTGGTCAACAACAATTCGATTTTAATGTTTAATGTCAACACGCGAGTATATTATTATTTATTTTCGTCGCGCGATTATCTGCCAATTAGGAAGACGCTTAAAGTCCTTGGTACATGGCATACCTACTTATTCTAAATATAAACTTAATATTATTTTCAGGATGAAGTTAAAGAGCTATCTAAAAAAGCAAGCACCAATCCATTTGGCAGTGATGATGAAGATGATGATGTTCCGCCCATAACAAATCAGCCTAAAGCATCAAGTAATGAAAATCAAGCAACACCTGTGTAAGTGTAGCTCACTTCTAACTTTGAAATAATGAAATAAGACTATTAATTCTGAAGAATGTCATGGTTTTTTTTTTCTTACAGAAAACGGCTAATAAAAGCTTACAATCCATTCTGGTCTGATGGTGAAGAGCCATCAACTGATGATGAAGAGCCTCATGAACAAAGGTGAATCTTTTAATTTTTTTTTATTATGATAGAATATTTTGAGTGTAAAACAGGTCTAAATATGCCTACCATTAAATTAATATAAAAAGTTATATCTATGGTTGACATACATTTACTATAATCTAGCCTAAATACTCAATACCTACCTACTAACATGTGACTTGCAAAAACATTTTAAAATTTCACTTTGCATGATGAGTCATCTTGTTAAAATAACATTTTTCAGCCATAATAGTGCAGGAAACAACGCGGCGGTGTCACGTAGAACATATCCATATAGCCCGTGAACATTGAGAAAATAACTTTCACAATGCTTCAAGTACTATTGTATTCGTATTGCATAAATGTTTTATGTAATATTCCTAGGCAACTGTTAACGATGGCCACCAGTAGTAGGTATAGTAGCCGATAGATTTACGTAAGATACTTATTTTTACTTGCAATTAAACTGATTTACATATCTTCCCTACTATATTTACTTTTGATTATAATGTGTATCTGATTTTACCTATTTTNTAAAGTTTGATCACTACATGCCCGGACACACTGTATATCCGATATATATCAAGCCGGTTTTGATGATATATATCAACTTTAAAAATTTGTTACTGTATTTGTACTTTTTGACATAAGATTTTTATTTTTTTAGTTGTTTTTGTCGTATTTCAAAGATATTTTATGTTTTTGCTTTATTTGTCTGATTTTAAGTTTTAAAAACATTAAAAACATGTTTATGTAACACTTATGCAATAGTATTCATGAATAGTACAATAAAATAATACTATGGCTTTCATACAAAATTGATATATATCAAAGTTGATATACAGTGTGTCCGGGCATGTAGTGATCAAACTTTAAGGGCGTAATCTATGGACAATTTTATCGATGAAAATACTTCAAATTTGGGGCCTGACCCATTTCTCGAAAAATTACATCGATTTAAGTTTTTAATTTTTAGTTTACACCTCTTCTTTAAAAAACAAGTGAAAGCGTGGGTAACTTAACATTAATAGGCAAATATTTTATATCATGCGATAGCCAATAAAATTATCTATTAGTAGAAGAAGAAAGCAGACACAAGTTTTATACATTTTATGGGACTAAGAATGGATTTAATTAGAAAAATACATTACTTTTTTCACTTCTTTTTCAGTTATTTTCCAACATAAGAAAAACCAGGTCGTTAAGGTATGTTTTATTTGCATTGTATTATTATTATTTGAGCTATTCTACAAAACGAATGTAAATTTATTAGTCTACGTCTATTAGTTTCGACGTAATTGTTGAACAAAGATACCCCTTCCCAGCGGTTTCCATAGCCCACGCGACATGCGAAAATGCACTGCCTGAAGGAATCACACAACCTATTCCGATTACTATGGAAACCGCTGGGAAGGGGTATCTTTGTTCAACAATTACGTCGAAACTAATAGACGTAGACTAACAAATTTACATTCGTTTTGTAGAATAGCTCAAATACTAAAAATACAATGCAAATAAAACATACCTTAACGACCTGGTTTTTCTTGTGTTGGAAAATAACTGAAAAAGAAGTGAAAAAAGTAATGTATTTTTCTAATTAAATCCATTCTTACTCCCATAAAATGTATGAAACTTGTATCTGCTTTCTTCTTCTACTAATAGATAATTTTATTGGCTATCGCGTGATATAAAATATTTGCCTTTATATGTTAAGCTACCCACGCTTTCACTTGTTTTTTAAAGAAGAGGTGTAAACTAAAAATTAAAAAACTTAAATCGATGTAATTTTTCGAGAAATGGGTCAGGCCTCAAATTTGAAGTATTTTCATCGATAAAATTGTCCATAGATTACGCCCTTAAAGTTTGATCACTACATGCCCGGACACACTGTATATCGGATATATATCATAAATATCCGATATTTTGATATTTATAATAAATATCGGATATTTTCGAACCCTGACTATTACTTATTGTGTACCGCCGCCAACATAATTATAGTGAATGGCGGCATATGGACGGGATTTACATGATCGCGTTTTGCGTCGAGTTCAGATGTGCGCTACTCGTTGAATTCGCGGACTCGCCTCTACACAACACAATCTCCCGCCATTCTAGGTGCTGTGCTGCCAAACCTTCCCATTGTGATTTGAAAGGGCTCATTTTGCATCTTTTCGTATGCTGTTTCTGGATATCTTTGTACTTCTGTCTTTGTTTCTGACTATCTGAGGAGTTGACCGCCATGTTTCCGCTTACCCTCCTCAAGTTCAAAGTAGAAGATTGATTCCTACTACGCTAATTGAGGACGAAAGACGCAGGAGGACAAAGTGACTGACATAGCCCACAGAATCGCTAAAATCAAGAGGCAGTGGGCGGGGCACATATCTCGTAGAGCTGGTAGGGCCCAAAAGATAAGGAGACATGTAAAGTGCCCCATAAGGGCTAACTTTTCTTCTTTATTATTTTCTTTAATAATTTTGACGTTCATAAGTGCCACTTGTGGTCTAAACTGAATAAATACTTTTGATTTTGATTTTTTTATTTTTGATTGGGCAGTAAAGTTTTTGAGTTTGTCGCCTCTTACGACACGCCTCCTGTTGGCGGTGGGGAAAAGTATTCTTTTACGGCCGTCCCCACACAGCACATGTCGGTCCGCCTCCAGGATCGGGATTCGAAACCTATCCAATTGCAGCGAGGGGTAAGACAGGGAGACGTCATATCTCCAAAACTGTTTACCACCGCCCTGGAAGATGTCTTCAAGCTTCTGGACTGGAACGGATTTGGCATAAATATCAACGGCGAGTACATCACCCACCTTCGATTCGCGGACGATATCGTAGTCATGGCTGAGACCTTGGAGGATCTAGGCACAATGCTCGATGGCCTCAGTAGAGCCTCTCAACAAGTGGGCCTCAGAATGAACATGGACAAGACAAAAATCATGTCTAATGTCCGTGTTGCACCCACTCCTCTGAANATCAATAAATAATACGCAACTCCGGGTGCGCGTAGGTAATAATATTGTCGCGCCTAGAACATGCTAGAGCTAGCCGTTAGCGATGCGGCCCGCTGATTGGCCGGAGGCCTCTGTCCTTTTATGGCCAGAAGCCACTCGCGGCCCACCGCGCCGCACACGCGGCCGAGAGCCGCGCCAGTCGTGATCCAACAACTTCCGCGAACGCGCGTACGCACCCCCGGACGCGCCTTTCGGTTATTTTCACTTACAAACTGGACTTTCATTTCTTTTATTCATCTCATCGTTCACCCATCGACCTCCATCGCCTACAAAGTGGTCCTTCGAGCCGGATCATCGATAATTGTGAACCAAGAGTGAGTGATACGTCAACATGTCTCTGCTTCGCACCCCCCGCGGCGCCGGAGTCAAAACACGCCGACAGTTGATGGTCGAAAACGAGGCACATAAAGTTGACACCGACGTGAAAGTAGCGAGTGAAATGCTGAAAAGTGAGTGCAGCCGGTCCACGCGCACGTCCTCTGCAGCACGGCGACTCACAATTGAAGCTGCACGAAAGAGGGCGGAAATCGAGATCGAAGCGATCGAAGCAGCAGAAGCCGCCAGGAAGGCGGCCGCAAAAGCCGCGGAAGCATCCGCGAACGCCGCCGCTGAAGCCGCCGCGGAGGCCGCCGCGAAAAAAGCCGCGATTCGTAAGTCGCTCATTGATATGGAGCTGAACGCCGACCTTGCCGAGCTCGGCTCGGAGAGATCTGTGATGTCATCGTCAGAGAAAGTTGAGGCCTGGCTTGACACAACACACGTTGAAGCAACACGTCGGGAGGAGAATGCCACCTGCACCGCGCCCCAGCAGCGTACTGATATCCAAGAGCTGGCGGCGGCACTCACAGGTGCGATCTCCAACGCTGCCGCAACAAACCTCAACGACCAGCTGTTGTCAAGATTGGCCACCTCTAAAGATCTACCCATCTACTACGGTGACCCCCTCGACTGGCTACAGTTCCGCAACGCTTATTACGAATCCACTGCGGTATGTAAATACACATACACTGAAAACATGTGGCGCCTTCGTAAATGCCTACGAGGCGAAGCCAAAGACGCAGTGTCTTCATTATTAATTGATTGCACATCACCTAATGAAATTATCGATATGTTAGAGCTTCGGTTTGGCCGACCTGAAATCGTCATGAATAAAATAGTGGCACAGCTGAGAAAACTACAACCACTGTCACTAAATTACCACACTGAATTGGTGCAGTTTGCGGTCAAAATAAGAAACCACGTAGCAGCGGCGCGAGCTATCAAACAACGCGAGTACCTACAGAGCCCCGAACTCGTATCTCTCATCGTGTCTAAGTTACCTACGCTACTCGTAACCAAGTGGGCTGACTACGCGTACACGAACAGTGAAGTGAACGAAAAGCCGAAGTTAGAGTGCCTATCGGACTTTTTATACCTAGAAGCGCAAAAGGTCGCCGCAGCCGGTGTTAGTTTCGTGCAAAATCAATCTGAGCCCCGACGTAAGCCAGAGTACACTAGAAACACGCACAACAATGTACTCGTGTTTACAAACGACGAACACAACAGCGATAAGTGCAAGTTCTGCAAGACACAAAAACACTCGCTTGAACAATGCCTAAAGTTCAAGCGAGCCCTACGAAAAGATCGCTGGCGCTTCGCACGTACACAGAAGTTGTGTTTCAAATGCCTGAAACCACTACACGCCGATACCACGTGCACAGCCCCCGAGTGTGACGTCGACGGTTGCGGACTCGGCCACCATCGCCTTCTACATTGGTCGAAGCCGCGACCCCAGCAGCAGACGACAGCAGAACGCGACCAACAGCGACTCAGTGAAAGTGAAACAGTGAATCATACCGCGCTTGAGTGCAAAAACGTGCCTCAAGTATTACTGAAAATAGTGCCGGTTACAGTGTTCGGTNGAGAACCTGATCTCAGCCAAACCCGCTATCCAAATATCAAAGTTTCTATGATCAAGAGCTAATTTACTAGGGTAAAACACTGCTTTAGTGCCTCAAACCCCAACCAACTGCAAATCACCTGATTAGTCTTGACGATAGATACTAAAAAAGCAGATTAAAAAAAAACCTAATGAACAAAGGTCAAACAAGGTCACGCCGCCGACGCCGCCGCCGCCGAGGTCAAAAAGTCGGCGCGCCGCCGCCGGCCAATTTTATATCGGCGGCGGCGCCCACCTCTAGTCGCGACTCGCGGATGAGGTTGGACTGCACGGAGTAACTCATACCATGCGCACTCGTGGTGCATGGGACTCTAACGAACTGACATGTGAGACGGAAATAGTGGACTTTGAAATCTCAAATAGAGACAGTAAGCGTTTTAAGACTTTTAAGTTACAAGCAAGAAAAATTTCCGAACTCAATTTGCCATTGCAATGTGTACCTGATATTGATTTGTGTAAATATAAATCTGTAAATATTGATTTGTGCAAATGTGACGCCCAGCCAATGTTATTAATCGGGCAAGATAATTGCGACTTAATCGCTCCTATTGAGTGCATAAGGGGAAAACCAGGTGAGCCATACATGACAAAGACGTGCCTAGGATGGTGCCTGCACGGGACAACAAAAAAGGTAATTAATCAATCTGTTTGCTTTACCACAAACTTGTGTTTTGAATCCCGTGAACCAACTCAAACCGTCGCCGCCTATTGTAATAATACCGACACGCTGGCCGGTAGCGCGGTCCCGCTCGCACTCGTTGCGTGCGAGCCGCCCCCACTCGGGCCCCACGCGTCTGCCGACGCCCGCTTGCATACCTACGGCGGCGCGTGCGCTCGATTCCACTACCGAGTCTAGCAACGAATGTTTAGGTAATTTAGCGATCTCATCAACTTGTTTATTTACCGATACAAATGGAAAGTCGTTGCCGCGCAAAGTAGATGAACCTTCTGTCGAATCTACTTATGATGATAGTGACAGTTTAACTTGCTTGCAACACGATCCATATGAATATGATTTGCAGTTTCTAGAGTTAGTGCAAAATTATTTGTCTTTAGAATCTATAGGAATAATGAATAAATCGTGTAAATATAAAGATAATTCACATGTGATTAATATGTTGGAAAGTTTAAGTAAACTTGTTGACAGTTTTTGGACTGAGGGCTTGCCGTTGACGCATGACGTCATTACTTTGCCGAATTTTTATCGAAATGCCTTTGACCGCTTGGAATCTGAGCTCAAAAATTTGTTTCTTCGCGAAGATCGTTCGTGGTGGCCACGAAAAAGATCTCGCAATAGTACAGGAATAGAGAGGTACTTAACAGGAATAAATATTACCTAATGATTAAGTTTTGTAAAAGGTTAATTTGTTATCTTTAATTTATATTTAGTAGCTTACCACCGTATTAGATTATCTTTCTTTTCTTTGGGTTTGACGATTGATCACGTTTACAGCGTGCTACTGAAAATGTTATTTTTTATTCTTTACCGCTTTGACGACATCGTTTTATGATCCTATCCCTACCACATGGAAACTTTGTTAGAACCGCACAACGCTAGCCGTGCTTGAGCCAACTGGCACTAAGGTCTGGGACCAACAGCTATAATGAAGTGACCAGTGACGCGCGTAGTAGGTACAACTTTGGTTATGAGTGTCGCAAAGCGACACTAGGGGGGAGGATGTTGACGATGGCCACCAAGAGTGGATTACTAATGTTTGGCCAAAAAACGTTTCCCAAATTATCACATCGCAAACAACGTTTCGCAAATTTTCATTTGGCTAATTTTTATTTGGCAAAACAACTTATTGCAAACTTTTAATTCGCAAATGTCGTTTTTGGCATATTATTGTTTAGCAAATTATTGTTTGGCAAAGTATGTTTTGCCAAATGTTTCATTTGGCAAAAATATTTCACGATAAACTATTTACAAAATAATTTGATTGCTGCATAGAATGGAATACAAATTAGCTTGTGGTTATTATTTTGTTTAGTGGGTAGTTAATATAAAATTTGTTCTAAATTAATTTTCTTATTTCATTCTCTTTATCGAAATTTCCAAATGATTCATTAACAATAGAGGTGATTCTAGCGCTCGGCGGCCGCTGCCGCGGCACGCTTTGCTCGCCTTCGCGCGTCAAGGGTCTCTGTTAGGGTTCCCAACCCNCAATAGATTTATTAGAAATCTAAATGCAAATGCGTACCTAAATGTTGTATGAATTGAAGTATTCGGTCCAGGTAGATTTTCATGCATTTTATAATGTTACAAAATGCAACATTATAAAATGCTGGAAAAAAAAGCGAACGGTCGGGTCGCAAAATATTTTTTCATACCAGGGGAATTCATCCTAGGGGGGGCCGTGTCATGAAAAAGGCTGAAAAACACACTGTGTTAGATAATACACGGCATTAGGTAAATAAACTAGCTAGCTCTTAGCATTAAAGGCTACTTAGGTACAAGCACAATAAATATAGTTTACTAGCTGGCCAGATAGCCTGCTGAACGGAGATTTCATTTCTCTCACTAAAGTTGATAAGAATCTGCATCATATTACCGCATAGTAGTCGACTGCGAGTGAGAGCAAAACAGGTTATGTAGGTACACAAACTAACATAAAACCGATAATAGCACGTGCATTTTTTAAGTAGGTACCTAATTTGAATTTGAGTCTTGGGGAAGGTGTCCTACATAAAACAAAAGACCTACCTACAAAATGTATTTTCTCACTAAACAGTCTAAAGCTAAACAGGTTATCAAAGCTATTTATTTTCTGCAAGTTTTTAAAAAGCGCTTTTACACAACCCAGTTTTACTTTCACCCTTCCACTAGCCACATAATAAATTCGTCAACATTTTTCTAAGTCCCAATTTCGAAACTTCGGCTGTCGGAAACTTATTTTTCAAACTTCTCTTTTTTGATCGCTGTTTATTGCCACTATCGTGAATAAATTAATGTCATTTTTAGTGCACCCCCTTTGTGACACCCCTACCCCTACTACTGCTAATAAACTAGGTTTGTTTTAGAGCAGGAATAAAACAAGCATTCAAACATTACAACAATTTATTATGTAAAAACAAATGTCAATTCTTATAACGGTTTTCTTGATTCCAAAATGGAGGCAATTAAAAACTTCAATGGCTTGAATGTAAATTGTATTACAAATTACTGATAAAGTTCTTAAATTCATAATAATTACGTTTTTATTTTCGTATTTGATCGAAGCTACAAAATCTCAAGTTTAAGAAGTTATACATTTATATTTATTATGCATTTACGTAGGTATATCATCGACAAAAGTTACTTCACAACTTCACATAATTATGCGATTTTGACTATTTTAAATGTTGGTTTTCAAAATACGTATACATAAACTCGAGTTCATGTTAAATCTATATCAAAACTTAATTCTAGCCAACTATTTGTAAATCTTTTCATAACAATCATTACATAGCACCATTTATTGAAAAATTAAATCACAACATTTTTGTTCTTTCAAAATTCAAGCAATATCAACCTCCGACAATATCTTCAATCCAAAAATATATTTCAAAAACTTAATTATTAATTCATTAATCAATACTTACATTAATGACTTAAAATAATGATGCCTATTTACAAGACTTGATCAAATATATTTTTTGACGTAATTTTTTGATCAAACAGGTAACGAATTTTAAAATGGTGGGCATGTCGGTCGAATTTTAAATAAAACTAAAAACACGCGGTTCAGATCGTTATAAATGCAGAGATCAAAACTAAACCAAAAAAATCGTGTGATGAAAGTGAATAAAATGAAAAAAATACATCCTAAATAAGAAAAACATACACTATGTTATGTTAATGCATTTCGACTCCTGGATGAATCGATATTCAAGGAGTTTTCATAATTTTTCATTTCAAACAATGTGATCTAATATTATTTCTGGATATTTTAACTTTAAAATATCCGGGACCTATATTCGCGCCAATATTTTTAAAAATTGTTTTTATATCAATAAGAAAAAACAATTGAAACAAATACAGTAAATTTTTTGCCTAAAGATAGGCACATCATACATAAGGCATAGACAAATTTATATTTCTTCTTTTTACGTTTTGCATGATTGCAAGTTTATTAGCGCGAACTATGCTTCGTACTATTTTACGTAAGGCTGATTAAATATCACCTTTTATACATAAATGTATAAATAAACTGTCATTTTATACAGTTCATCTAAATTCTAAAATCATGATTGACATGGCTTACTAAATTATAAACGTACACACGAGTTTATAATTGAATCAAAATTTACATACATAACACAACGCCTACATACGAATACAAATAATTCGAAATTAATAAAGTTCATAATTGAATAAAGACTCGCGAGCAAAAATAATATGAAATCACCCTATTGTTCCGAGCGATTTAAGGAAAAAAATTATTAAAGTTTTAAAGGTCTATTATAAACGTGAAATTCATACCATAGATACATACATAGTAATTCAGTTCTTAAGATCGGAACAAAACAACGGGGTGATGACATACTTTTACTCGTAATATATGGATCTGAAAAATCTTAACAGCTATGAATTTTTTTTTAATCTCAATTTATAAGGCACTAACATCTGTTAAGAAACGTTTTATATTCGTAATACATATCAACTTATTCTAGCAACAACCTTTCCTTAATTATTTTATAATTTTGTCTATGAAAGACTCAAATTGTTAGTAAAGTGATTAGAAAAATATATTTACAACACAAAATGATTGCTTTTTCAAGAAAACTAAGGCTGAGGTGCACCACCTTCATTTAACCGTGACTAAAACCTTAACCGGTGTTTTTTGAATGGAGTTGGATAGACTTGACGTTTGTTAAAGTTAAAGTAAGATGATGCAATCTAGCCTAAGATTTTTTTCCATTTTATTTAAAAAAATCTAACGATTTATTCGTCCCCATACAGTAAAAAAGGCATATTTTTTATATAAAAAATAATTTATTTTACAGTGCGTAGTCAAAATTTATCCTTTGTCTGATTTGAAAACGGAGCCTACAAATATGTACTTTAGTGCTCTAAAAATACGTGTTAGTATTAAAAATAATTGTCATTGGACCATGCATTATATTTATTAAGACAGTGCGAATTCGTACTAAAATTGTCTGTAGAAATCGCATGAAAAGTGTTAATTTTTCTGACGAATTCGCACCGATAGCTAAATGTAATACAACAAAATTTATGTACAATTTGATGAGAAAAATCAATGTACTTTCCAGTATTGATTTATGCAGTTTTAAATCGTGTACTTTTAATTTACTTCTTATAATGTGTTAATTTCGTTTTTATCTGAAGGTCACTAAAACCTGTGAATCGTGTTAATTTTGTGGTATCAGTCTACAAGCTTATTTAAAACTCTTTTTCGTGTTAGTTAATAAAGACAAAACTATTTGTGGATGGTTCTAAAATGAATGTAGGTATCATGTATGTTTCTTGCATCAACTTTATAATTCGAGACAGATTGATTACAAATGGAGTTGTATGTTCCTGTGTCTTATTTGCTTTTGTTGGCTGTTTTTGAGTTTCCTTAAAGGCAGTTTTTAAGACACCCTCGGGTCCAAAGCAAGTTATCCATGCGACAAATCGCTCGACACTCTGTGCGTGTTCGAATGCACAATATTTTTTATCACCATTTCATTTGTAACACCAGTTTTGTCTCGAATTAAAAACTACAATTATTGTACCTCGAAATAGTGTTCTAGAATTGTCAGAGAGCAGAAATAACAGGAGTGGAACTGACAGGCAATCCCCTCTAGCAATGTAAGTAGACCAGTGGTTCACTCAGTTTATAAAAACTAGTTGCAGCGCCACCAATGACATATTCCAAATGTCACTATTGAAGAGTAACGTGCTGCGATAAAAATGGTGAATTGCAGTGTTTTTAATTGTAAGAAGAGATCTGAAACATCAAATCTTGAAAAGGACAACATTACATTCCATCGGTAAATATTATTTTATTTATTTCACATTAATTAATACACTAAATTTGCAAAAAACTAAATTTCTAGAAGTGTTGCCACTGGAATGACTGGAAAGCAAAAATTCCTAATTGTGTAATATTTTAAGGATAGTGTACTTATAACAATATAATCGAAATTCTATGCAAACAATTTGATACTGCCAATAGGTGTTCTCTTTTATGATATTTGTTAGTATTAATACATTATTAATAATCACTGATAAATGTAAATTCATTTATTACTTTTACCTCGACTGTCGGGAATTATTCATAATNCAACCCTAGTCTCTGTCTAACCTAACCTAACCCTACTATTTCTGCAATACCTACTTTCTGCAACCATACTATGTTCTGCAATCTCTTTGTTTTACCTACATAAAATTCTTGTGAAAACCATGATCAATGATCATGTGCCTTATGCTTTGATTTGTGGGTAACGGTGGGTAAGTAGGTATGTGAAGTGTCAATTTGACCAAACAAATTATTTGGGATATAATATTTGGCAAACTGAAACATTTTATATATAAACATTTGCCAAGTAAAATTTTGCCAAATCATAAAATTTGACCAAATGAATTAGTTGCGAAAAGTACAGTTGCTAAATGTTCATTTGGGAAATGAAACTTTGGCGATAAGTTGTTTGCGAAGTGAAATTTGGCGAAAAGTAATTTGGCCAAACGGAAGGATACCGTTTTATATCCCATTTGGATGCTACGGTTTTTACCTACAATGTTTATGTTTGATTTTGGTATCAATAAATAATACGCAACTCCGGGTGCGCGTAGGTAATAATATTGTCGCGCCTAGAACATGCTAGAGCTAGCCGTTAGCACAGTAGATAAATCATATACAGTGTGAGTCACGTTAAAGTGTACATATGAAAATAGATGAAACTAGACCTATTTTTATCGACAAAAAAGAGGTCTAAATTTTTTTGAGATATTTTTTTTATTTTTTATATAATTTTTTTTCTTCCAATTACTTATTGTAAAGAAAACGTAATAACTTTTAAACTAAGCGGTATATCCTGATAAAATAAAAACAGTAATAATGCTAAATAACAGGCAATACTAAAAAAATACATAAAATACACAAAAAAGGCCAACAAATAATAAAAAATGATAATTTTTAAAAAAAATCTACTTTTAAATTCGTGTTTTTTTTGGTTATTTGATAAATTTCTCCAAAAAATGCCCCTATAACCGGCGGTTTTTATTACTTTGTATTATTTTCTATCGTATTACCTTCGTAAAACCAAAAATCACATGTCTCTATCCCTATCACAACGTTTGTTGCAATGATCGTTTGAACAAAGGCCTGCCATAACATTATTCTCCGCTACAGGTAGAGACAATTTTAATTTTAACTAAAATGCTTATTTTACTTCTGTAGTATAGTAGGTAAGTAATTATAAGAATATTTTAATATCATAGTTTAGTGTACACCGCATGAGCGTATCTAGGTCGATGACATACGCGACAAAACGTTTGACGTCATCGCAATTTGCTGGTGGCGGATAATTCTGCAACGTCTTTATTTTACTGTCGTCACAGAATAAGTAATAGTACAGGTACAGAAGGATTACTCCGCACGACGATTTAAATAAATGCGAGTCTTGCTGCGACGCGATACAGTGGAATTCAGCTCGCACAGCACTACGTACCTACAATTTTATTCACCTACAAGTTTTGTCTCTTTCTATCGCGTGCCTCTGAACTCTTCTTACGCTGTTAGGGTTGCTGTCTAGTGAAAAAATAATTAATCTACTTATTTGTAATGAGGTACGTAGGTAAGTAAAAATAACATTTCAAATATACCTAATTAGGATTAAAAAAACTTGTTCTATTACAATGTCTTCATTCATACCTACCTATTTTAACATAGACAGATAAATTAAACATACTATTACAGAAAAATAAAGAATCCTATACTATCCTAAGAATTTTATTATTGATTACCTACATGGCCAACATACCTTTCAGCATCTTTGGGAAGCGAAAAAGTGCGGTATTTCATAGATAGCAATAGACTGACAGCTAACAGCTACGCACAGCTCACGCATCTCCTCTCGTCTCAGCACCGCTGCGCTCTTCTCCGCTCCGCTTTGGTGGAAATAGCCTGCCAGCTTCGTCGTACATCTCTCGTCTCCGTACCGCTCTGCTTTGGTGGAAACCGGGCCTAAGGCTGATAGTCGATCCCCTTTGCCAAGGGAGTGTGGCCGTGGGTCATGTTTGGTATATAAGAATATTAGGTACCTATTTCATGGGTAGTGTAGGGTAATGGTGGTAGGGTTAATACTGGGACGTGTAAAAGTGCTTTTTAAGAGCCTATATAAATGACTTTTTAGTTTTTTTCATATAACTCTTAACTTTCACAATTCGTATTCGTGCTAGGGAAGAAATGCCAAACTTTTGCGTATTTTCCTTTAAATAGAGATCTGAAATGTTGAATCTCCCATAGGATAATAAATTAATTCATATCATTTTTTTAAACGAGCCATAGACTATGAACCATAGAGCAATGATTCTCATCGACAAAAATATCGATAGTGTCTCAGCGCCATCAGCTGTTACACAAATGTCATTACCTCGTCCCCCTCAGGAAATGGCGAAATTTTTTTGTATGGAAATAAACGCGCGCTGCTACTCCTGTTATTTCTGCTCTCTGAGAATTGTACATTGAAAAAGAGTTTTAAAATCTTACAGTAGTCGACAAAACTTGAAAAGTTTTAATATGTATTGATAGTAGCGTCCTGTCACTGTCTTCTTTGGGACACTTCAGTGTTACAGCTACAAAATACCTTTTTTACTTTTTTAGACATATGATTGACACGTTGGTGTGCTTTTCATTGATGAATTCTTCAATTTAACGGCACTTCTTGAGAAACTCCAGCACTTCAGTTGGATATCCGTCTCTTACTTGAGATTTGGTTGCTGATCGCGCATACTCGAGAGGCGTCGTCGAACTGTGGAAGAAAATATGTAAATTAACTTAAACATATTCATATTTTTTTATTAAAGAAGAACATATACATAACTGTACTAATAATGTAACATTCAATTATCCTCTGTTTCGGATGTGCAGAATTTATAATAAAAACGTAAAAAGATTGGATATATTTTATCAAAGTTTATATTCATATCATAAGGTTATAACTTGGACGAATAAATTCGTCCAAGGGTTATAAACAGCCTAACTTTGTAGCCTAACATTGATGTAAGTAAGTACATAATGATAGTTAAATTGTAATATCTCTGCATCCATACCCCTTTATTTTAATTGTATCTATTCTATGTAAACGTTGTGTGCAACATTTATAGGAATTCAATTTGAATGAAAAAAAAACTAATGTTATTCTATAAAAATGTTTGAGATTGTATTCTGTTGTTGTACCTATAAATAAATAAATTCAAAACCGCACAGTATAGCGCATAACCGAGTTAGCCTCTGCGGTAGTAGAGTGGTGCATAGGAAAAGATTGTAATATTTTTGTAATATTCCGGACTTGCCGAGAGTCGGTAGTTCAAAACATGTCGCAGCTGGACTATTGCGGATGTAGTTAGTATAAGCACAGAATAATAATAAGTACTAAGTAACACTTAGCTTAGCTCGAGGGGTTAAAATAGGGGTAAAAAAATGTAAAAGAGAATATTTAGGTGATGAACTTTAGTAATAGACTATTTGACACCATTCCCCAATAATTCGAAATCACAACTTTTTTAAAAATCTCCGTCTTAAAAACTTTTAATTGATTAAGATTTTTGGTTGCATTGTAAGAAAGAAGTTGTTTATTGAGTTGAAAAAATAGTGACGTCACAGACAGGCTAGTATTGACATACAAAATCTATGGGAGAATCACGTTTTGACAGTTTTAAAAAGTACGCAAATGAGGGTTCTCGCGATTGAAAAATCCGCCAGATGGCAATACGTAGACGCGAGGTCCAAATGCTGCGTGATTGGTGGATTTTGACATATCCGTCAAAGTCATGTCAAAAATAAACAATCATGCAGCATTTGGACCTCGCGTCTACGTATTGCCATCTGGCGGATTTTTCAATCGCAAAAACCCTCATTGATTGATGGTGGCGGCAAATAGACTGTTAAACTATACGTACCACATGTTAGGTGTGTGCGCCAGTTTCTTCCAGACCTTTCTGTCGACGTGCTTGAACAGAACCATGATGAGCTTTAAGTCGCAGTCCTTGGAGTTGACCGCCATGTGAACCGGGGTGTCACCCGCTTTTGAGTCCTGTGGGATAAGGAATATAATTATTTATGAATCAGGGTATTTTCGAACCAATCGTAGGATTGAAAGACGAAGCACACATCAACCCTGAAACGGATCGTAACCGTGTCAACTCGAGGCGGTCAGTATTCTCTGTATGAAACTCCATACTGCAACGTACACTTATCCGCACCGTAACGTAAACGCCTCGCCTCGCGGTTGACAACGCGCGAAAGGCGATACGGTGTTGATCCCTTTCCGAGTTGATAAGTCTGCTATGACCTTCATTGTCTTTGTAGTCTACATGAAAAAATTAGCATGTCATCTAGATAAGCATTTCCACTAATTGCCATTATCTCAAGTTCTATCAATACTTATTGTTTTTGTAGTCTACATGAACAAAAATTACAATATTATCTAGATAATAATCGGCAAATAAATAATATTTTATCTATTTCTATTAAACGCTATTGCATTATCTTATCTTTCGTTTTATAATTCCACCACCACTGATGTCTTTGTAGTCTACATGAAAAAATTAGCATGTGGTTTAGGTAGCCATTTTAACTAATTAGAAAGAAAGAAAGAAAAGTATTTATTCGATACAAGTATAATTTTAATTAATTACCATTATGTCAAGTTCTATCAATGCAACACTTATTGTTTTTGTAGTTTACACGAAAAAATAGCATTTCATCTAGATAGCCATTTCAACTTAACGCCGCTATCTTTCTTTCTATCATTCCACCACAATGTCTCTCTAGCGTACATGAAAAAAACAGCATGTCATCTAGATACACAATTTCAACAATTACCATAATCTCGAGTTCTACCAAAGCCACAGTGATCTGGTACTCACCCCTTGCCATAAGTCGGCTCCAGCGTGCTCTAGTAGCACGTGCGCGATGTGTAGACGCGGGCGCGACGCGCTGTGCTCGCTGCACGCCACGTGCAAAGCCGAAGACCCTATCGATACACATAAGGAACATGATAAAATTATCTAATACAGGGTGGAAATTTGTAATGCCACCTGGAGGGAAAGTACTCTTAATACTGTAGATACAAAATTTTACTGAAAGAAAACATTCCTTTATTTTTAAAAAGAAAGAGAACTGCATTCGAAGTTTTTCGAATTTTTTTCGAAAATTCACAACCATACGAGTACCATACAATTTTCTGTACATAATTAAAATAATATAAAAGTTTAAGATTTCATGGTACATATTCCTTTCATTTGATTTATCAAGTTTGTTAGAGAGATTTCATCCTTATAATAACCCTAACGATCGATGCAATAAAAATACAGGGTGTAATTTTTAACAGATTTTAGTTGGTTCGATTCCCGGGTGTGGCAAGCAAATTTTTTGAATGCAGTTCTATTTCTTTTCAAAAATAAAGGAATGTTTTCTTTGAGAGAAATTTTCTATCTACAATATTGAGAGTATTTTCCCTCTAGGTGGCATTACAAAATTCCACCCTGTATATGAATTATTATTACAAAAAGTAGCAAAAAGTAAGGCTTGAATGAAAAGAGGCTGGTTCCATCCATGTTTATTATTAGGCGATAGGAGGATGTTTTGCAACCCGATGACGTCATAGTTTACTACATAAAATCTCAGTTTATAGGAAGTATAAAAAAATTATTAGGCCAGGGGTCGGCAACCAGCAGTTCGCATGCCGAATTCGGAATTCGACTCTTTTAGTGTCAAGAGCGGCGTTTCAGTATTTTAAAACTCTTGAAAGCCGGTGTGTACACTGCTTAACCACGGAGATCGTCAAATAAAAAAAAATGTGGCTCTTTCGTTTCAACCAAATGCGTTCCACTGATGCAAAGGCTTTTTAAAACTGGAAAATTGTAGTAATTGTTAACTTTTCTACATATTTTAAAAGGTTGCTGGCCCGCTAGGGTATCTAAAGCCTGGTCCGTGAGCACGTAGAATCCCGTCCAATGACCCCAAGCTGCCCATCCTTGTCGCTCGCACGTAATTATGTTGCTGTCGCGCTCGCACACTCACTGCGGGCGCGCGTCGCACAGTCGCGAAGAGGCAGAGCGTAGAGGCTTTAGTTCTCAACTCACCGTCGGCATTGACGTGGTGTATCCTGAACAGCGGCAGCAGCGTCGCGTCGTCGCGTCGTACGAGCTCGGCCAATGCGTCGGCGCAAGAGTCGCCACGACGCGCGCAGGCCGTCACCAGGGTGTCGCCTTGCGCGTCCACCTGTGGACGAATAAAATAATATCTATACAGTGTGGAATTTTGTAATGCCACCTGGAGGGAAAGTACTCTTAATACTGTAGATAGAAAAAAATACTGAAAGAAAACATTCCGTTATTTTTGAAAAGAAAGAGAACTGCATTCAAAGATTTTCGAAAATTTTTCGACAATTCACTATCATACCATACAATTTTCTGTACATAATTAAAATAATTTAAGAATTCATGGTTTTCCTTTCATTTGATTTATCAAGTTTGTTAGAGAGATTTCATCCTTATACTTAACCCTAACGATCGATGTAATAAAAATACAGGGTGTAATTTTTAACAGATTTTAGTTGGTTCGATTCCCAGGTGTGACAAGCAATTTTTTGGCAATCTTTGAATGCAGTTCGATTTCTTTTCAAAAATAAAGGAATGTTTTCTTTGAGTAAAATTTTGTATAGCTGCAATATTAAGGGTACTTTCCCTCCGGGTGGCATTTCAAAATTCCACCCTGTATATATAAAAGAAAGTCGTGTTAGTTACACCACTTATAACTCAAGAACGGCTGAACCGATTTAGCTGAAAATTGTCAGGGAGGTAGTTTAGAGCCAGGAGAAGGACATAGGATACTTTTTATCCCGTTCGAAATTAAAAAAAAGTCTGCTTATTTATTGCCATTAAGGCGGAAAAAAGTTCGCCGGGTCAGCTAGTGTTGTATAAAAGCGAAAGAATAAAAATACTTTATTCAGCATAGAAAAATAAAATAAAAATACAGTACATATAACATTAAACTACAAGCTATGCTGAAGAGGCGTCCGCTCAGACATTCGCGACATAACAAGCGCCATGTCGAGAAGCTGGTTTTCAGCGGGAACCAACACGATGAAGATTGCGGATTGCGCGCCCTCTTGACCGGGACCATATTGAGGCTACCTGTCAAGAAGACGCGCAACAGTAGGCGTTACGGAAAGGTCACTGACTGACTCACTCATCACGAAATCTCAGAAACTACAAGTGCAAGGAGTCTCAAATTTTGCATGGGGGTTCCTTTTAGAACGTAGGTGCTCACTAAGACGGGATTTTGCAAAATTCAACCCCTAAGGAGGTAAAACGGGGTCCACGCGTACGAAGTCGCGGGCGGCCGCTAGTACGTTATAAATGTGAAGTCGAGACAAAACTAAAAAAATGCCAGTTAAAGTGCAGTCAATCTGGGTAACTTTAGTGAAAGTGTAATAAATACCGAAAACTATAGTTATGAAGTGACTCAGGGGAGTATACTACTCTTGGATGGCTCAAACTTGGAGTGCAAGTGTGGTTTTGTTCCCCAGTCGACGAAGCACATGATGCGTGCCCTAACAACTGCACGCAGGAAGATTTAATAAAGGCTACTGACAACGCCACTCTTGTAGCGGAGTTTTGGGCTGACACTGTGTAGTTTTGTTGTCGACACGACAAGAAGAAGAAGAAAGGACTCTTTGGGAAGAAGCATGGCAGGGATAAGCTATGTACTGAAAGGCATCACAATATTTACCAGAATTAAAAAACGCCACGATAATAAAACTAAATTACATTGTTACTTTAAGGAAAATTATAGTAAAATATTCATGTATTTTTGTAATAATTATTTTATCTAATCTTGTAAATAAGATAATGATAAAATCTACTTAAGAAGATAGTTTAATCTCAGTGGTCTAAACATTTACCTACTTCACTTTGCAATCATAGATCAATCATATCGTAACCCCTCATAGATTCACCTGACGTGAACTGTCAATTACGGAATATGGAAATTCCAAACCTAAATAACAATACATTTTTTTTTCGGGAATTTTCCGTCATATTTTTGGTTGTTCTGCCATAAACGAATCTAAAAAATTAGAGGTCGACAAAATCGGTCAAACCGTCCTTGAGTTATGAATGATGTAGGTCAGGGTCTCTCAATCTTTCGGCTCCACGAACCCCTGTTAAAGTTGCCAGGTGATAGCGGACCCCTTAACTAGCTAATTATCCCCCCCCCCCAAAGAAAATAATGAAATTGATGACATTGATGAATAATGTTTTAATTTCAATAAATTTCAAAATATTAATGTGATGGGTGTGCTTGTTTCTAGAAGCAAACGAAGTAAAATTTTGGAGTAATTTTGGATAATTGTAATTGTGTCACCATTACGTAAATCTTGTTGCGAACCCCGTACCGTTGATTGGCGAGCCCCTTGGGGTTCGCGTACCCTACTTTGAGAAACCCTGATTTAGGTAACTAAAGTTTTGTTTTGCCTGTTAATGTTACATCATTTCCAATTTTATCACTACCGAGAACAGTTGAAACAATTAAGATCTTTTATTATTTTAGACACGTTACAACTCAAGGTCTACGTACATTTGCGTCTTAAAATATATTTCCTTTCATATGAAACATGAGTGGCATATCAATTATGCAGAATGTGTCAATGTTAAATACATTTTTTTGCAAAATATAAACAAATTAATATGCTTTCTGATTAATTTGGTTGCGGGTCCAATGACAGTTTAACTTTCCCCGGGACAAACTTGACCTTCACTGGTTGGGTTGAGCGGTCAAGCTGTAGATCCTGGCTACACAGGAGTTGCAGCGGTGGGAACGAGAGGTGGGAATAGTCCCGTAAACAAATATGTCCATGCACACAAGTGCCATGTGGTTCTAGCAGAGTATAAAAGGACCATCCCCACTCTTCCCGTGGATGTCGTAAGTGACTAAGGGACAAATATGCGAACATCAGGCCTCCCCAACCCGTCTGGCCAGCGTGGGGAGTGTAGGACAAATCCTCCATTTGCCTCTGGTACATTAGAGGGTCGTGCTCCTGCAATGGAGACTAAATGACCTGATGATGATGACACAGATGTAATTTGGTAATTCTAGGCTGACAATAGTGACTGAGTTTCTTGCGCTGCTTCTTCTCAGCACTGGCCCATTTATTGTCCTGAAGCAGTGGTAGGGTTAATACTGGGCAGTGCCGTAACTAGGGCGGTGCCAGCGGTGCCCAGGCACAGGGCGCAGACCCTGGAGGGGCGCAGAAATGACCAGACCAAGCATTTTTCAAGGGCGCAGTTTTGAAAGCTCGCACCGGGCGCATAAAAGGCTAGTTACGGCACTGATACTGGGACATGTAAAAGTGCTTTTTTAAAGACTACTTACAGAAATAAATGAGTTTTTATAAGGGATGAATTACGTTTCGATAAAAAATACAATGATTCACTGGATTTTTATATGAATACTTTAAAGTTGCGTCATATTGCTTAGTTGTGCGTTCTTTCCTCTTTTGTTACATTTTACCTCCACGTAGATGAGCATGATAGTACATAATGTAGGTAGCTATTATACTAATACAAAGAGATGTAAACAAGCTGTACAGAATACAAGGCCTACTTTAAAATTCACTTAAAACCGGCCAAGTGCGTTTCGGACTCACGCACAAAGGGTTCCGTACCATTGAATTATGATTTTTTTTTAATTTCATTAATCAAGAGAAAACGGACAGACGGACAGACAGACAGACATGACGAATCTATAAGGGTTCCGATTTTTGCCATTTGGCTACGGAAACCTAAAAATCAGGACAGTCTTTTGAATAAAAATAGTTCAGATTTTTTTTTACTTTGTATTTACACCTTTCGTTCATTTGTTCGTTTCAGCTAAATGACGTCCACTGCAGGACAAAGACCTTCCCCAATGATTTATTTATACAACTACCGGTCATGTGCTGCCTGCATCCAGACGCTCCGCGACCTTCACCAGATTGTCTGCCTATACTACGTTTTCTTTTTTAGTCCGTATTTGCCCTCTTAACCTTTAACTGGTGACATAGTTTTTGTGTAACTTACATCGATGTAACTTAGCAATTTGGAACTGAATGATGCAAATATCCCTCTCTACGGCGTAGACGCAACTAAAGTCGAAGCTACTGAAGCTGTGAAACATTGCAACCAAGGGGGAGGGGGATGAAACCCTCGAAAAGGAGTCTGACAATATAGTGACTGAGTTTCTTGCGCTGCTTCTTCTCAGCACTGGCCCATTTATTGTCCCTAAGCAGTGGTAGGGTTAATTTTGGGACGTGTAAAAATGCTTTTTAAAATTTGCAAAAATAAATGAATTTTATGAGTTTTTAAACGATGTTTCAATGACGCCTCACGGTTTGTGAGACTAATTTGGCACCAGTTATAAGTTAATACTTTAAAATAAAATTTACTGCTATCGATTCGCAACGTTTATTGGCATACATAAGTAGGTTTGGCGTTTGGCATTAAGCTATCTTATCAATTATAGATTAGTCACAGCAAGTAGATTTCTTCAGAAATATTATGACTTCACATCCGATTGTTATTGATTTTAAATCATTGTTGATTTTGGGTGCAACAAACAAATCAATCTTTGCTTGCGTTATAAATGCGAAATTAACTCTTTCACAAACAAAATTGATAATTTTTGGCGCTTATATAAGGTGATAAGAGTAATTATAAGTAATTAATATTTTTATTTGTATTATAAGATAAAATATGTTTATTGTAGATTAACGCCCGTATTGACAAACGATGCTTGCAAATCGAACGCACTGCGTTTAACAGAGCTCTGTGATTGGTTCGTGTGTCATCCTGTACCCACGCGCACTGTGAGACCTCATAGTAATGTTTGTGAATACAGGCGTTAATTTCCTTCGTAAGTTATATCCCAGGTCTACTCAACCTTCACTGGTTGGCTTTTATAGGAGGAAAACTAGATTCTGGATGTACAGGAGTTGCAGTGGTAAGAACGAAAAAAATGGGATTAATCTCGCAAAAGAACATGGAATGAAAAAATGTTTAGAGAACAGACTACAGATTTTTTATCGGATGACGTTTGGTCGGCCGGCTTCTAAGGCGAGAGTGAATAGGCACTTACAGGGCAGATAATGTACCATCCTAGACTGCATCCCACTTAACACCAGGTGCGATTGTGGTCAAATACATGCTTTGTTATGCATAAAAAAATATTCAAGTGTTGATATGCCAAAACAATATTACAACTTTAACAAAGGATAATACCGAGTTAGATATTAAAAATTCATCTATTCAATAACAAATGACAGCTCAGGACTCATTGCTCTGACGTAGAGTCGTCAAGATGGCGGACGCGTCCTCTAAAGGCGCAAGTACTACATTATGCGGAAAACTGGCCAAGACGTATTAGTGTGAACACCATCTCGGTTAATTTCTCTTTCACCCACCCGTGCGTCGCCCATACTTCGGTGCGGGCTAGCTCTTTGACTTGGACAAAATGAGCATAGTGTACTTGCGCCATAATAACGGATTAATATGCACACACTACACTGGTCGAAGGCTTGCCAATACACATAACAATCTATCACTGACAATGCTTTTCCTAGATGTTTTCCTACAATGTCTTAAAGTAGATAGTTTGTAAGCGTCTTTAATAAGAATTGGCGCACTATACAAATAATATGAATGTGGTCGACTTTCCAATTAAAATTAATTTTAAAGTTCGTTCGTTTCAGCGAACGACGTCCACTGCTTGGCAAACTTGATGTCCACAACGACACTTCCCGCGACCTTTAGAGTAGGCGCACACCGATTTTTAGTTGGCCGATAGTTGTGCCCGATTTCAAATTGTATGAAGAATCGGCCAAATCGAATCGGCGTAGTGTGCGCACTCCCATACATGTCCATACTGATCAACTGCCCGACTAAACTATCGGCCGACGAAAAATCAACGGTGTGCGCCTACTCTTACCGTCGGTCCAGCTAGTGGGGGGCTTGCCCACACTACGTCTTCCGGCCTGTGGTCGTCACTAGAGAACTTTTCTGCTCCAGTGGTCACCAGCTCTGCGAGCTATGTGCCCCGCCCACTGCCACTTGATTTTAGCTATATCGGTCACTTTTGATTCGATCCTCATTCGATCACGCAATTTTCAATTATGAGTGCTAAGTAATTTAGAAGAAAGACAGTTACGTTTAATAATTAACTTTAAAAAAAAAAAACCGACTTCAAATGCGTGAACACAAAAAAAATCTAAAAATTAAAAATATTGCGTATAAAAAAGTTCATCCCCAATTTTCCACCCTTGGGGGTGAAATATTTTCTTCAAATTCGCATGAAACCACCCTTATGATAATACCTATTCAACAAAAAAATAATCGTTCAAATTGATTTATAATCGGCGGAGATATTGCGTATACAAAGGTCATCCCCAATTTTCCACCCTTGGGGGTTGTTTTTCTATTATTAAATTTAAATGGGACCACCCTTGAGGTATTATCTATACGCCGAAAAAAGATTTGTTCAAATCGGTTCATAATTGGCGGAGTTATCGCGTAACAAACATAGAAAAAAAAACATACGGGTCGAATTGAGAACCTCCTCCTTTTTTGAAGTCGGTTGAAAAGTCTATTTTACTCCGCTATAATAGCGAAAGACTTAATTAAAGAAAAACTTCGGTCTGCTAATAGCCTTAGGCTGAGTTGCCCTTACCTTTAACCGTAACCATAACTTCAACCGCTGTTTTTGTAGGTACTTGACATTTGTTATAGGTAGTTAAAGTTGGTGCAACCATGGATTAGTTTGGGACCAGATCAACTAGATGGCGCAATATAAAAATGTCCAAGGGGTTTTTTGTTATCTGACTACGTACTTCCGAATGCAGTCACTCCATGTCATTGTCAATATCAATAAAATCGATATGAATCATCAAAATAAGTCAAAATATAAGTTCAGATAAGATAGTAATAACCTTTATTGAAGTGGAAAGGACTTTAGCGATTAAAATGTTATTTTTGGATCACAAAATGTTGATCGTCGGTAGAAATTTTGATGATGTTGACCAAAGTAATTTATTAGGATTGATAGGAAAGCTAGGAAACGTTGAACTACAAAATATTATACTTAAAGGATATGTAGTTTCGGTTATGGATACGGTTACGGATATAGGAATAATATTATACCGGTTTCGGATCTGTGCTTTAGAATGCAATTTGCAATAGTTGTCCAACACGGTTCATTCATGACTTTACATCGAAGAAAAAGTAATAAAAAAATAAAAATTGATACTAGATGGCATTATAAAGGTAAATCAGGCTGTTATGCCTTTACATATAATGCTATACAAAAAACAATTTAAACTGCCTATATCCGAAACTATAAGAAACTTTGAAACTTTTATCCATAACATCCCTGCTTAAAGGTAGCTGACAGGTGTGCATATCAGACTTAGTAGTTAGTATATTTATTGCAAAATTATCCTATACAAATATGTACATAAGAATGCTGAGGCTGAGTACATAAGAGGTGATGTACTATGTCCCTTACCTCGTGGAAGACAGAGTCCTTTCCCTCAGTAAGCGCGGGGTTGACGCGCACAGCTGTGCGGACGCACTGCACGAGGTATCGCGTCAGAAGCGGGCGCTGCGGGCACCTCAGCACGGCGGATTTTAGAAGGTTCAACCCTGGAACAAAATGAAGATGAAAATGGAGTTGGATTCCTTGCCAGCCTGTGTGTTCCCAACTTATCTAAATATACAGGGTGGAATTTTGTAATGCCACCTGGAGGGAAAGTATTATTAATACTGTAGATAGAATATTTTACTCAAAGAAAACATTCCTTTATTTTCGAAAACAAAGATTGATTTTTTTTCGAAAATTCACTACCATACCATACAATTTTCTGTAAATAATTAAAATAATGTAAGATTTCATGGTTTTCCTTTCATTTAATTTATCAAGTTTGTTAGAGAGATTTCATTCATAAACTTAACCCTAACGATCGATGGAATAAAAATACAGGGTGTAATTTTTAACAAATTTTAGTTGGTTTGATTCTCGGGTGTGCCATGCAAATTTTTGGAAAAGTTTTGAATGCAGTTCTATTTCTATTCAAAAATAAAAGTTCGTGTTCGTTCGTCAGCGTTAAATAATAGTTCGTGGCACCCAAAGTCAAAGTTGATAACACAAGCTTTTCCAAATTGTAACAAAGACGTGTTGCGAACTTTTTGGCTACTTTGGGTGAAACGAACTATGCGGCTGGGGCAGAAAAGTTCTCGAGTGGCGACTCCGAGCCGGAAGACTTAAGCCTATATTTCACCGGGACACCATGGCGGCGCAACCAGTCGCCGGCTACCAACAAAATGTATGCAGCTCTATAGAGAGTTACTCACCTGGTGTCCGTTTGGTTGCGCAAAGCTGCATACATTTTGTTGGTAGCGGCGACTGGTTGCGCCGCCATATTGTCCCGGTGAAATATAGCCCTTAGTGTGGGCACTGGGCAGGCCTCGTACTAAAGTCTGGTCGCCGAGCAGGTAGAATTTCGTACAATGACCCCAAGCTACCCATCCTTATCGCTCGCGCGTAATTATATTTAATTTTCTGTCACGCTCACACACTCACTTCAGCCGCCCGTCACACAGTGTGTGCGAGCACGACTTTAGTAGGGCAAACGATCTGGTGAGGTGCCTGGATGCGGGCGGCACAGGCCCGTTCTTTGTGGTAATCCTTGGGGGAGGTCTTTGTCCAGCAGTGGACGTGTGGCTGAAATGATGATTACTCCAACACTCGTCCTAAACTTAAGTGACCACTCACCAAAGTCGTCTTGGAACCAGTCGGGCTCCTGCGACAGCACCCGCTCGCCGAGCAAACAGAAAAGGGCGTGCAGGAGCGCCTCCTGCGAGCACGGCTGGCTCAGTCTGATCAGGACGTGCTGCAGCACTCTGGAGAAAGGTACAGGGGTTACAAACATTTTGAAATTCCGTAATTGTCTTTGTATTTATTATTATGAAAACCTTTTATATGTCCGCAAAAATATAGAGCAATTCACGAAAAAGAGCGATTTGCATAACTTTAATACAAGAAACAAAAATAAACTTGCCGTTCCAAATTTCAGATTGCATAAGATTGGTAATTCATTTATGGGAAAATGTATTAAATTCTTTAATAAATTACCACAAACTGTTGTAGAACTACCCATTCATAAATTCAAAGCACATATTAAAAGTACCTTAATGAAAAAGGGCTACTATAAAGTCGATGATTATTTAAAAGATAAAAATGGTTGGGATATGTTACTGCCTAGCTCGCATAAATATTTATAACTTTGTACATTTTAAAGCATGTAAACCTTTGAAAAAGAGGCTGACAATAGTGACTGAGTTTCTTGCGAGCTTCTTCTCAGCACTGGCCCATTTATTGTCCTGAAGCAGTGGTAGGGTTAATACTGGGACGTGTAAAAGTGCTTTTTTTAAGCCTATTTACAGAAATAAATGAGTTTTTGAGTTTTGTATCTGGCTCCTACGGCGACTTTTTGTAGCGATTCTGTCGCGCGTTTGCATCGATCTGTAGCGCATTAGTAGCGCATTGGCATCGCTTCTGTAACGCGCAAATGCGACTAACACGCGTGTTAGTAGCGATACTGTTGCTAAAAAGTCGCCGCGGGCGAGGGGCCTACATGCGGATGAAAGACAGAAGGCAGGCGCGGGTCCACTATAAAGTGGGCACAGTAAAAGTTAAATGATTCCAGCCCAACCAACCATTTTTTGTCCGTTATGCTTCTCCCGGAATCCCGTTTCATGTCTATTCTATCTGTCACTATCATTCATATTGGCATCTCGCTTCTCGTGAGAGAGATGGAATCATTCGAAACTTTGGAACGAGCTCAGCCGACTTCAAAAAAGGAAGGCATTCTCAATTCGGTTGTAAGTATAAATGTATCAATTAACGTTATGACGTTTGTAACAATTGAATAAAAGGCTGAATCATAATAATATAGGTTGTTGCGGTTTAGAGCAAGTATCCACAAAACCATGTCAATAACATGTTCTACATTATTTTACTAGCTGCGCCCGCGACTTTGTACGAGTGAAAAGTTTAAATAATATTTCCCGTTTTTGCAACTTTTTTCTTTACTGCTCCGCCCCTATTGGCTGTAAGGTGATGTTATATAGCCTAAAGCCTTCCTTGATAAATGGGCTATCCAACACAAAAAAAAAAATCAAATTGGACCAGAACCTATGTATTTTTTTACTGGGTCTCAAATTATATGTTTTTCTCTAAAACGATTCAATAGTTTAAGTGTCAAAGAAGCACCTACAATCCAATCTCACAAACTCTTCTATTACTAGTTTTTACCCACGCAACCTGTGGGCAGTGGGCTGCGTAGTTTTTGCGTGAAAGACTAACAAACATACAAACTTTCGCATTTTTAACATTAGTAGGATTATTAGGACTTGTGCATTGTCACATATTAATATGAATAACATATTAACAGTAAACAATGAATTTAGTTATTGCAATTTATATGACTAACTTACTATGACGCAAATGTTTAGTTATTTGTACTAAATAGGTAACTAAAATATAAGAGCATATAAGCTTGACTGGACTAGTAATAAACAACTATGTAATAAATAATGTACATAATTTATTATTAGCCATATGAAAACCACAAGAAATATGAAAACCATAGTGAAAGAAAAAAAACTAGAAAATTCAACAACATTCAGCTACCACTCCAATACAAAATTGGCGCCAATTCTACTTGACTTGTGACTGGGTCAACGCCCTCTTATGTCATAATGGACCTTATGATAATCTCGAGACGGCTACGAGTTGCTTTGTCTGACGTCCACCTGACCATCTGTACATCCGGTTAAGTCGACACCAGATCAATTGACATACTTTTTTTATCTGTCACAACACGCGATTCCAGTATTTGGTTTCATTAACAATCGAACTTAGGAACCTAGGACGTTAACTGAGTATTTATTTATTGATTTCAAGCTGGAAAAAATCTAATTTGAAAATTATAAATAAATTGAAAAAATCGAACTGCCTAAGGCGGGAAAAATTCTACTATTACCATAGAGCATACAGATTGAATTTTTAGAGAGACCTTTGATTCATAGACAGCCTTCAACTATTACCTGTTTCAATTTTGCATAAATTATCGTTCTTCGGTCTTACGTAATTCGCAAAAAAAAACTTATCATGGTTACGTTAAATGGGAGAATCGGTAAGTAACTTAATATTATAAAGTGGAAGAGTTTGTTTCTTTGGTTAAATGGCCTAATCTCAGGAACTACTGGTCTGATTTGAAAAAATATTTTGTGTTGGATAGCCCATTTATCGACGAAGGCTATATGCTATATGCCATCACGCTACAACCAATAGGGGCAGAGCATCAATAGAAAATGTTGCGAAAAATTATTTAAACGATTTTCACGCGTGCGAAGTGGCGGGCATATCTAAAAAACAAAAGAACTCACCCATAGGCATGTTTCAGCTCCATCTTAGCGACTTTGAGGCATAAATTCTTTCTCTCATCAGTCTTCAATTTCTGCAAATGCTCTTGAAACAGCGCTTTACACGGCTTCAGAGTCATTTGACAGCAATCTTTCTTCGAGAAAGACTGAGAGAGCTCCTTCTGCAAATCCTTGTACTGCTTCATCGTCATAGAAAGAGAATTTGTACGCTCTCTTCCTCTAACCACCTCATCTTGAATGGGAGAGTCGTCGAAGTTCGAAATGTCTTGGAATTTCTCGTAATCACTGTTGCAAATGGGGGATGACCTTTCAGGGGAGAAAATGACTGACCGATCAGGGGAATAGGTGTACTCAGAAGTCCTAAAAGACCCTTGGGAATCCGACATGGGACTGGCTGCGTTTTCTGAGTGAGGTGGAGTCGGGAAGAGAAACTGCTGGGCTTTAGGCTGAGGCATTTCTGAGGGCAGCAGTGTAGTGAAGTCCAGCTCTCCAAAGAGTTCGTAATTGAGATGGTTCGAGAACTCCTCGATTGGGTTTGGAGGCGATTGCTCTTGATGAGGGGGCGTCATGACGTTCACATCTACCGGTTCTGGCAACTGCTGGGATTGGAAGAAGCAGGAGAGCAGATCTTCGTCTGTCTCTTTCGTTTGCGAGACCTTCTTCATGTCGTTTTCGATGACGTCGGAGACGATGTTGATCCATTCGTCGCCATATTCGTGCTGGGAGTTCTGTGAGGATTGCTGGACTTGGATCAAGGCGTTGTCGAACTCGATGGAGTCGTTGTGTCTGGTCTGATTCACGATGACTTGGCCACCGGTTAGCGTGTGCTTGTTGATTTGGATCTGCGAAAAATAAGATATAATTAATCATCGGTTTTGTGACCAGAAATGAGGGTAAGAAAGTACAGACAGATCGCAAAAATTAGGTGCCATTTTAACATTGCTTATTTTATTGGTTATTATTGGTTATTTTAACTACGGATTAAGAAACTGGGCCTCAGTCGATCGCCATAAGATATCTGAGTTAGTTTAACTTAATTACTTATTAACCTTACAAGAGAGCGGAAGGTTAGTTAGTACATAAGATAATTATAAAGCTGAAGAGTTTGTTTCTTTGTTTACTTGAACGCGCTAATCTGCGGAACTACTGGTCCGATTTGAAAAATGATTTCAGTGTTAGATAGCCCATTTATCGAGGCAGGCTATAGGCTATACAACATCACGCTACGATCAATAGGAGCAGAGCAACAATGAAAAATGTTGCGAAAACGGGTTTACACCCGTACGAAGTCGCGGGCACAGTTAGTATAAGATACCTAATATCTGTTACGCATAATGTAGGTATTTCCCAAGATATATATTTATCGACTATTTCCTGATAGCTTCAGTCATTAACAGGTTATCTTATTATTGTTTTTATTAACTATCTATCAGTCTGACATTGTGGTAGAAAAACAGCTTTTATTGCAACTACGTAACGTTATTTTCAGTTTGTTGCGTCGTTTTCTGTATCAATAAGAGAGACTAAACAATGTTAAAAAGTAGAAAAATGATTGCATTATTTATTTATTACAGGACAGTTTATTATTTTATACAATGACTAGCTGTGCCCGCGACTTCGTCCGCGTGGAATAATGACTTTGGGTAGGCACTTTTATTAATTTAGTCTAATTATTTTACAAATAGCTTTTGCCCGCGACTTCGTCCGTGGAGAAGTCGAAAACGTTCTCATACGATTATTTTTAAATGTTTTAACGTTATTATCTAAATGTTTGAATACTTTTAAAATATAAAAATCAGGTTAAATAAACATGAAAATATTTTTTATGAATATGCAGCTCGGCCTTTGATCCGGTGAACGAAATCGAAAACTACACCTACCGCAGTATTATTTGTAAACTTTTTTTTTATATTTTCCTACGGGTGCTAGAATCACCAAGCTTCCAGCATGCCACTGGCCGTGGGAGAAGGAGCTTTTCCTCAAGACTACTCCCACTACCTCAAGGGCCTCCGCCAAAACTCTCGCGCGAAAATGAGTTTATGTATACAGCGCAAGCAGGTGCCCGCGGCATGACTTTCATGCATTACTATGCATTGTTGGGCGAGCGCACGCAGCGGGCACCCACTCCGAGGTTAAGTGGAGGCCCCTAGAGTATGGTAGTCGTTAACATGACGTCATGATTGTAAAAAAATGCACTAATGAGTAATTAATATCAACTTTGAAGCAAATCACCACTAAAATAACTTTCTACCCCTTTTTAACATAGTTAGGGGGTGCATTTCACTAAAATACGAAACACGTCTTCCATTAATTCTGTTATAGAATGCTTATGCAAAATTTTAAGTAGATTGGACGAAGGAATCTCGTTATTTCATACAAACTTTGCCCCTCCTTTTTACCTCCTTAGGGGTAGAATTTTGGAAAATCCTTTCTTATCAGATGCTTACGTCATACAAAGAACACACCGTCCAAGTTTCAGGTCTTTACGATCAGCGGTTTAGGCTGTGCATTGATCCATCAGTAGCGCGCGTAGTACTTGATCATTATTTTGCTGCGATGTGATTTTAAAACTGCGATATCTCCTAAGATATTTATTGAAATCGAATGGTGTAAAGGGCAAGAATGTTTAAAATTAAATACTTGTGGTGAATAATTTATTTATTTGGATAAGGATTAATATCATGTTTATAAAAACACCTTCGCAAATAATGCATTATTTTAAAACAGATTTTTTTTTGCATAAAAATGGTTACTATGAGCCAACCTTAAAAGATAGACATATGCTACCGCGGACTTTTTTAAAGAACTTTTAAAGGGGAACAATCCTGTCATACATGATTTTTGCGAAACTTTAACCGTTTACGCAGCGTCAGCTCTCAAAAGGAAAAAAATCACCGATTTGAAATATTATTGATTGGTGCTCCGCTCCTATTGGTCTTAGCGTGATGATAAATAGCCTAAAGCCTTCAGGAACTAACGGGCTATCCAACACAAAAAGAATTTTTCAAATCGGTCCAGTAGTTCCTGAGATTAGCGCGTTCAACCAAACAAACAAACAAACAAACAAACTCTTCAGCTTTATAATATTAGTATAGATTGGTCCGAGTCGGTGCCAGCCTGCCAAGTGCCATGGTTAAGAAACATAATATTTCACACAAATATCATTCATAGTGTTATAGTTTTTTTCCAGTTAAAAGTTCTTTTGCAGCTCGTCTAGTCTTTAAAATAGGGTAGCTGTCACCTTAGCTGTCACTCACCACTAGTCAATTGACATACTTTTTAAGAGCTGTCAAACTCCCATAGGTTTTGTCTTCCAAAACCAACGACATTGGTAGATCGCGTACCCAATTGACTTTAGTTGAAAACTACTAACTAAAATAGTTACTAAAATAGAATTTTATAGCAAGTTCAAAAGTAACTCGATTTTCAGGGTAAAAATGAAGATTCTTTTGTGAATCTGTGCTTTGGAATGTGTACTTGACACAATTAAATATTAAATTACAAGACATAAATTATTTAGAAAACACTTCAAGTTCATTCTAGTCCTGAAAAAGCTGCTGTAAAACTAGATTTTTAGTAGCGTTGACATCATAAAAGTTAGTTACTATTAAGTCAATTGTTTTAACTGAAATGTAGTACCTACTTTACTTTATTAAGATTTGCTATACAAAATACGTGCGTTTAGACAGCTTATAAAAAGTATGTCAATTGACTCAAGAATCAAGTGGTACCCAATTATTAACTTTTAAAGCCTGGATCACACGTACCGAGTAAACGGGCGAGACAGTAAAATGTTTACTCGGTCGAGACAGTTGGGTGAGCGATATAATGTTCATACACACCGAGTACTCGGCCGAGAGCAGTGTCTCGCCCGTTTGCTCGGTACGTGTGATCAAGGCTTTAAAGACTAGGCATGTTCCCTATTGGCATCAAAACGCTTTGCGGAAAACTGGCCCATTGCTAAAGCACACGCAAATGGAGGAAAATTGCCACCGGTCGAATTACCATTTAAGGAGTTAATGTTACAAAATAATTTGCTTGTAATATTACAGTTGCAAATAGTCATTTGCAATTATAGCTTTGTGTGATAATATTGCATGTAGGTATATTAATATGGTAAATTATTAAATGTATTCATATTGTTAATTATAGTGCCTATCTTCGTACAGTTGACAGCGAATCAGCCTTACGTCATTTTGTTGCAAAGTAGGACCGTAGTTGTAATACAACTAAGCTCCTGCAGTGTTCGGTAGATGACGTGTTGTTATTTGTACAAAACACCACAATAGTCTATAGTGGACGAGGATTGAACTACGTTAATTGTTAGGCTATTTTCGCACCTTTATATTTTACTAGCTTTCCGCCCGCGGCTTCGCCCGCGTGGAATTTTGTCTGTCACAGAAAAACTTTATCGCGCGCGTCCCTGTTTCAAAAACCGGGATAAAAACTATCCTATGTTCTTTTCCGGGACTCAAACTATCTCTATGCCAAATTTCATCAAAATCGGTTGCGAGGTTTAATCGGGAAAGCGTAACAGACAGACAGACAGACAGACAGACAGACAGACAGACAGACAGACAGACAGACAGACAGACAGACAGACAGACAGACAGACAGACAGACAGAGAGACAGACAGACAGAGTTACTTTCGCATTTATAATATTAGTTGGGACTAGTTGGGATAGTTGGGATGTTTGTTCCAATAATTCCTTAAAAATTTCAAACACAAATGACCACAGTTCATCGTTCCAAAGGCCTGATGTCGTACAAAATTATATTTTACTAGCTTTCCGCCTTCGGCTTCGCCCGCGTGGAATTTTGTCTGTCACAGAAAAACTTTATCGCGCGCGTCCCTGTTTCAAAAACCGGGATAAAAACTATCCTATGTTCTTTTCCGGGACTCAAACTATCTCTATGCCAAATTTCATCAAAATCGGTTGCGAGGTTTAATCGGGAAAGCGTAACAGACAGACAGACAGACAGACAGACAGACAGACAGACAGACAGACAGACAGACAGACAGACAGACAGACAGAGTTACTTTCGCATTTATAATATTAGTTGGGATAGTTGGGATAGGTAAGTTACGAAAATATTTGACTAATGTCCGTTTTCACTATCAATCCCTAATTTTTAGGTAGCCCCTATGATAACAAAATACCTGTTATTTGTTACCATAGGGATCACTTAAAAATTAGGGATTGATGGTGAAAACAGGCATAATTCTAATGGTTACTATCCAAATTCATGATTGCACATTGTATCTTCTTAAGCTTCGCAGGTAATNACAGACAGACAGACAGACAGACAGACAGACAGACAGACAGACAGACAGACAGACAGAGTTACTTTCGCATTTATAATATTAGTTGTGATTTGTGAAAATAACCACAGCAGAAATTCTACTTTTAGCAACGGCGATCGGCGATTTTGCGACTGTATCACTATCGATGCAACATTGCGGGACAAACTTGACCTTTTTGGTCGGATTTTTATTGGCGGTCAAGCTGTAGATCCCGGCTACACAGGAGTTGCAGCGGTGGGAACGAGAGGTGGGACACGACATAAAAATCGCGCGTTTTAGCAACTTTATCGATATGGCATCACGATTTTGCGACTTCATGCGTTCGGATGCGGTATCGGAAACGTTTTAGCGACTGCTGCCGCTACGTCGAGCTTAAGAAAAGCGACTCAATCGCCGCGTTTGCGATTCGGAATGTGTGGTCGCTGCATTTAGCTTCTCAAAAGCGGCTAAATCGCCGATGCTAAAAGTACCATGTGCGCTGTGGCTCTAAGCACAAAATAGATAGGGGCAGAAGATAATCTACATACAAATGCTGTTAGTACATACTTACTGTATAAATTGTAATCCGTTTCTATTCAGAATGTAACAGTAACTAGATCATGTACTGTAATATTTTTGGACTAAATAAATATCATTTTCATTTTCAAATTGCGCTCGGGCAACGACATATAGACAACGTTCAAGGACTTGCTATTATTAGGCCCGTATTAACAAACATTACTATGAAGTCTCACAGTGTGAGGGTGAGACACGAACCAATCACAGAGGTCTATTCAATTTTTTTCATACTAGGGGGGTCGTGTCATGGAAAAGGTTGAAAAACACTGGGCTAGTGTAACATTCCACCTGAATGAATAGGTTTTTGGGACCGTGAGCACGCGCACTATGAGACCTCATAGTTATGTTTGTGAATACGAGTGTAAGTCAGTAGATAAGTAAATAACTTCTTACCTGTCTACAAGGATCTGACTGCTGTACATAATATGGACACGCATTCCTAGGCTCCCCAACTTTAGTCTTTATAGGTTTTCTGCACAACAGTACTTTATGTTTCCGCTTCTCTTTAGTACATTTCTGGTTTTCAACATCCTCATTTTTATTGGAAGCTTCAGATTTGTCAACAGTTTCGTCATCACCGTCGTTTTTAACCGATAAAGGACATTTTTCGTTGTTGATATCCAAATTGTTGAACGCGTCGACGATTCCATCGTCTTTGTCTGTATTTTTGTCGTCCAAGTTAAGTTTTTTCAGCGATAGGATGACGTCATCGTCTTTTTCTTTACAATCATCATCTGATGGCACTTCTTCTACGTATTTCTCAGCAAAGCCACTGTCTTCTGACGATTGTGAGTCAATTCTGTCATTCCTGGCTTCCTCTTGAACTGTTTTGAACGAAAAATTGTTTAATTCATCATCCTCATCCTCATTTTCGTTTTTGACTTCTAGTTTGTACTGTATTTTGTCTAGAATGTTCGCGACTGTGTTGACAGGGATAGAATTAACATTCCCGTCTCTTTGTTTCTCTGTTTTGACTGCATCTTCGCTGGGTTTGTCTTTTTTCTTGTCCTTTTTGAAGAAGACTTTGAGCAGTTTTTTTAGGGTTTTCTTGTCGTTCTCAGCCATTGATATTTGTGGTTGCGCGTTGGATACCTTTGCACTACCCATATTAGTGGTCGTTCGTTAGGATTTAGCTCTTGGCATTCTGAAACAAAAAAAAACGACATATTAATAACAGTTAATTATTTGACGCAGTTAAAGTCACGCCTCTTCGAACTCCTATGTTCTTAGGGCAGAAACTGCGTTAAGCGGGCACCCGCGCGGTTTCATACAAAGTGCTTCGTCGCGGGTGCCCGCGGGGGACTTTCGTATGAAACCGCGCGGGCGTCCACTTAACGTAGTTTCGGCCCTTATGATTAATTTCGTTGCGGGTCCTTTCAGTTTAACTTTCCCCTGGGACAAACTTGACCTTCACTGGTTGGGTTATCGGCGGTCAAGCTGTAGATCCTGGCTACACAGTAGCTGCAGCGGTGGGGTCGAGAGGTGGAATAATCCCGATAGTAAATTATTTGAAAAAGACCATAAATGCGTATTTCCTTCTCAGTTAAATTAGACAGTTGTGCTCAAAACGTGGTTATTTCGTTGGGAAAAAAGGAGATCTTCTGCTTTTGATCCCTTAGACTTAGAAGAACGGAATCTTGTAAGGGATGAAGGATTGGACAAACCATGGTAGACTGGACGAGCTAGGTAAAATGTACAAAAGAAAGGGATGAGTTTTTGTCTCTTTCTTTCACAAAAGGAGCGAGGCAGAAAAATGTTGTATTGTATTGTTCTATTGAAATAAGAGGCTTTGTTGAATATTGCATTTTGGGTTTGTCTATTATTTTCAATTCTATGGTTGTGTTCATAAAAAGGTCGCAAGTACCAAAGGATGCTATGTACCATAAAAGGATCAGGTACTTACGTACCTGAATAAAAAAAACCCATACCAAGCTTTGCTAGTTTTGCCAGCGCAACACTGAACCGATTTAAGTAAATTATAATAACAACAGTGTTAACAGCATTGTTGTGTTCCGCAGTTACAGGTAAGATAGCCAGTTCCTCCGTGGTTGAGGATTCCGGGTGAAGCTCGCTTCCACCTTCGGCCTGATCGTCACTTACCATCAGGTGAGATACAGGCCAAGAGCTTCCTCGTTGTGTATAAAAAAAAAACTCAATATAAAGACAGTTTGAGAGACCGGGAAAAACTGGAGTTTTCATCCCGGTTCTGAAACGGGAACACACGATATAGTGTGATAAACCGAATTCACGTGCGATGGAACAACACTGAGGGCTAAGTGTGAGTTTAAATCACTAGAGAGCGCGTTAAAAAAAGTATGAAAATTTTAGTTCTTGAACGTTTCCGCTAGGGGCGCTGTACAATCCGTCATACATTTAATGTCATGTGAGCGCGTTTGATGTAAACCCAGGCCCTCTGAACATTAATTTAAACTTTTGTAAGAAGTTAAGTTGTTGAATAAGTGTTAATTGAGAGAGATCTCAAGAATCGCGTATCAAAACTTGAGAACGAATAGCTGGTCTATACTTAACTAACTTACAAGCTCAAGTCGTTGAAACGTTGTCTCAAGAGCAATCTCAACTCCCAAGCGCGTGTCAAGGTCTTGGTATATGATTAACTAGCGGCCGCCCGCGACTTCGTACGCGTGGACCTCGTTTAATTACTAATGATGTTGATATTGGCGTTTAACGGCTTCCCCCGCATGAATATTTACGGACGTCAAAATTTTTTGTTAGCGTAGGTACGAAGTCGCGGGCACAGCTATTTTTGTATGAGGAAATTTACATTAAATTTTTATCTACTTGTCAAGACTGATATATTAGTACTATCTTGCAATCATCTGCTGATCTTTGGTCCTGGGAATATCTAATCAATCAAATCGTTTAATTTTCAGACAATATTTCCTCTTTTTTGTGCGCCATCTTAGATTAAATAGGTATACAATAGTGTTACTTATTTTGTTTTAACCTTCTTTACTTGTGAAAACGCTCAGTAGACCTTTTGAGAATGAATTTATGCTATATTATGTATTTTCAAATGTTATTATATTTATATATCCCTGTTCGAAGATATATTTCGAATATATCGAATCTAGAATCTGCAGCAGTCTGACTACCTAAGTTTTATTAATTAATTGCTTAAAAATTTAAATTATGGGTTTTGACTCTTTTGGGTTGCGTACTCGAAGAATTTTGGACCCAATATTCTAGTAAGTACGGAACCCTTAGCGAGCGAGTCATCACACTTGACCGGATTTTAGTTCCGCACGGAACATCACCATTATATGCCGGATTTCCCGCCCAATATCTAATGTCAAATATTTTTTCTTTTTTAACTTGCTGCACGTAGCTATGCCTTTTAAAAAACATAATTTATAACCAGCCAGCGCGTGGCAAAAAACACTGGATGCCATCTACGATCGAATGACGTCATAAGCTGTATAATGCGACGCCTTTGCTTTCCCGCTATGTTAATAAAACGACCGTGCGTCTGGTCGCCAGGCATAATAATTTTGCATAATCTATTTTCAACGCTTTTTTGATATAATCTATTCTTCAACAATTTGGCGGGAAAGTGAAGTGTCATGTTATGGCAATTTTGTTTAATTTTCTTTTGTGTTTGCGAATATGAATGCGAAATAACGGGTGATTATTTACCATTAGGTATTCGTGAAGTGCGTGAGTGTTGGCAAATACAAAACGGGGCAACATCACTTCAAATTCTCTCAACTATCAAGTAGTCCGTGTGTTGTCTCAGTAAAGTTAAAGTGCTACTTTACTGAAACTCAAGGGAAGTGGGGGGTTATCATCTAAGATTCATCTAATACCTATAAAGAATTGGCCTAATAGGCAAATAGAGGATTTCTCAAGTAATTAATGTAAAAAATCCAAAATGTGTATTATCTTTGTCAAAAATTTTAATTACAAGATTCATCAATATTATGGTCTTCTTCTTTTCGTGTCGACAACAAACCTACACAGGGTCGCGTCGGCCCTAAACTCGGCCACAAGAATGGTTAAAATCAAAATTTCTTCAGGTGAAGCCGTGGGCAGAAAATAGTACAGGCGACAACATCGTGAAATTGTGGAATATCTTATATTATATATATAAAAATGAAACCCGTTTTCCGTTGTCACGACATAACATGAAAACGGCTTGACCCATTTGGCTGATTTTTTTTTGTAGTTTTCTAATACTCTGTACAAGGTTTTTACGGAAAAAAATATAAAGAAAGTCTCTACGCTAAGGCGGTACGAAGTTCGCCGGGTCAGCTAGTGTACAATAAAACGTCATCTTATGTAGATCAGGCATAATTTATGTAGGTAGTTGTAGTGCGAGCGACTTAGCAGCAAAAATGTAGTTTCTCTGATGGGCTGTCATCTGTACAGTCAGCGTCAAATAGTTCGTGACACCCAAAGTAGCCAAAAAGTTCGCAACACGTCTTAATAAGGTTGTGTCAATCAACTTTTTGGCCACTGCTTCGGGTGTCACGAAATACACTCGACATCAAATAAATCGCACCTCCCGCGACAAGAACTTTCAAACGTATGCATCCCCACCTTCCCACCCATATTGGCATCATTTAAAAGCCTAGTTCTACACTTCATTTCATTAAAGGAAAGGTTTACCTTAAAATGTGTCTTTAGAAGGATCCAGAGTCACTTCGTCAAAAAATAGGTAGTTACGCTTGAGCCAACTTTTATGGCTATAAAACTGGTAAGTTGGGCTTGGGATTAATCGCTATCCATCTGTTAAAGAGGACACGTGAGATCATTATTTGGTTTTATAACCATAAAAATTGGTCTAATTGAACCCAGAGGTGAGCCCCAAGTGAGGTCTTTTTTGAAGTCATTAAGAAATTTAATGTGTTTTTCTTTAAGGATATTTATTGAGCTTTCAAATAACACCAATATTGTTGGGGCACAATGATTGTGTCAGAAGAAAATCTTTAAGGTTCGCGTCGCGGAAGGTGCGATTTATTTGATGTTGATTGAGTGTATTTGAAGCTGACGTTATACCATATTGGCAAATGCACTTCACAGAGATAGGTACTCTAGTTCTTTACGTCTTATGACTTCCCGTCATACTTTTGCCAGCCACAATCAGTCTTGATAAATTAATTATTACTCTTGTTTGACGTATACGTTATGTACAAACGAACAGGAAATCTAATACAAGAAGTTAAAAATACCATACGGCAGATTTGCACGAGGAAAACTTGAATTTAGTGGACATGGCTATATTAATAGTATGATAAATACATTATTTATAAATTATAATTCTCATCGTAGTTGAAAAAAGAGACCTGTTTCTAAGGCTGAGTTGCATCATCTTACTTTGACAAACGTCAAAAATCTGTCAAACTCCATTCAAAAAGCACCGGTTATTGTTAGTTACGGCCAAACTAAGTAAGTTGGTGAAACTAAGCCTTAAAGTATTTTTCTCCAAACTGCCGGGTTAGATTTCGAATTTCGATGCCACTTCACACGTGGCCCGTGGGTGTATTTGAGGTCCTTGAGGTATACCCAAATACCACAACATTCTGTATCATTATTGATTCACGGTAAATTAATACCACAACAGCATGGCTATTGGTTCACGAACACTTCCCATTTTTTTACGGGACTATTCCCACCTCTCGTTCCCACCGCTGCAACTCCTGTGTAGCCAGGATTAACTGTCATTGGACCCGCATTAATTAATCAGAAATTAATTTCGTTGCGGGTCCAATGATAGTTTAACTTCCCCCGGGACAAACTTGACAACACTGGTTGGGTTATTGGCGGTCAAGCTGTAGATCCTGGCTACACAGGCGTTGCAGCGGTGGGAACGAGGTGGGAATAGTCCCGTAAAGCATAAGGTTTGGGAACCTATGGTTTATTATCTAGAAGCCTAGTCGACTACAGACATAAAACATTTGAAATAGTAGGTACGTTACAGGAAAACAATAATGATAAGGTTAACGAGGAGGATAAATTGGTTAATTTAAATCATTTACAAAAACAAGTGTATTTTATTTGGATATAATGTAAATTTACCTCTCGTAGTTAACCAAGCTTCAAAATGTAGCATAGCGTTACCACCAGCAGAAGAAAGAGAAATAAGCTCACCAGCCATCATAAACAAAGGTACAAACGTGACATATG